CTTCTGTTAGGCTAACCCTAAACAAATCATGTCATTCCTTGCTTCTTCAATCATAGGCTATCTGGAGTGCTCTTGCCCTGTTTTTGAAGGCTGAGGTCGGATGGTCTCTACCTCACCTAGCTTCAAAGTCCTGGTAGTTTTGCCAACAACATTGGCCATGGCAATAGCACATACATAAACCTGTGGGAAGCCCATAATGTTAACCTTGGCCCTGCGGGCGCTGCCTAGAACGCAGGAAGCTGCTTCCTTCCCATTTTGACACAGCTCAACCAGTCTGTGTTGGTCTCTGATGGGCCCCTCAGACCTCAAGGACCATTTCCCCAAATCTCTGTTACTTGACTCTACTCAAAAGCCAACATAGATTACCATATTTTTCAGAGTATAAGACCCTCCGAAGTATAAGATGCACCTAGATTTGGGGGGAGGAAAACCAGGGGAAAATATCTGCCTCCCAGCAATTTGCTTCCTTGCAACAAACAGTACAAAAAATCTACACTGTTTGTGGTGTTATATTTCGGACTATACTTGTACAGATGCTGTTAAAATTGATGTGCTTTCTGGAAGTATAGTTATTCTCTGCTGTTTAAAAGAATAGCACTTGTTAAAACAATAGCACCGGGCCTCTTCAGATCAAGCATTTATTTTAAAAAGCTTCTTCATTCTGTTAAGTTCTCTAGAACAATAATAAAGCAGTCTTTAAAAAATAAGTCTGATAATTTGAACATTCTATAGGCATTTATAGTTGTTGACTTGCCTCCTTGCAGCAAACAGCCTGATTAGCACAAGAAAACAAAATCTGCCTCCCGGCAATTTGCCTCCTGGAGCAAACAGCAAGTTTCACTTTCAATTTCTCCCGATCATCAGCTTTTCAGGCTGCAGGGATTGCTATAGCCTATTGAAGCCCCCGCAAGCCCCCATTTGCTGCAAAGAGGTAAATTGCTGGAAGGCAGAGGCCAAAGGGTTGGGGCCGGTGGGTGGGTGGGGCGACATTCAGTGTATAAGACGCACCCAAATTTTCACCCTCTTTTAGGGGTGGGGGGAAGCTGCGTCTTATAGTCCGAAAAATGCGGTATATAACAACTCTCACAAAGTGGAATATCCAGGTGCTTTCATGATTCAA